TTCGGGATCTCATGGCTTTCTTTTCTTTTCAAGTGGGTGTCAGCAGAGAGGACTTGCCGGATTAATTGGGAGACTGTGGTGCAGAGTCTGCCAGCTTTTAGGTGTGCCAGAATTGTAAAATACTGAAATGTCTGGTCATGCCAATAGGCTTAGCACTGAGGGCTAGTATGTTTTGAATCTTGGTTCCAGATAGACCTTAGGATGGCCTCTCTTGTCTTGAGGAGGGACAAATATGAAACCGTTGGGCTTTCATGGCTTTCTTTTCATCCTAAGTGGATGTCAACAGAGAAGACTAGCCAGATAAATTGGGGGTCTCTGGTGCAGAGTCCACCAGCAATTGGTTGTGCTGTTGTTGTTGTTCTTTGCCGTCGAGTCACCTGCTACTCATAGCAACCCTATGTACAACAGCCCTAAACTCTGCCCTATCCTGTGCCAATCTCACCATCTCCGACAAATCTGCCCCCATTACCCCCATCAGACCCACATGCACACTACCACAGGTCTCCTGACATGATGATGTTCTTGTTGTGTGCCCTTGAGTCAGAACTGCCTCATAGCTGACCCTCCAGTGGGCTTTCAGAGGCAGTAAATTGCACAAGAGATTGTTGATCCTTCTCCCATGTTGCAACTGGCAGATTTGACTCACCAACACACTGACCTCAGCTTACAGGTGTCTTCAGACATTTCAGTATTTTACAATTCCATCACACCCAAATGCTGACTGACTCTGTGCCAGAGACCCCCAATTCATCTGAAAAGTACCAAATGCTGACAATCAGTTAGGAAGAAAAGAAAGCCATGAGAGCCCAAGTGTTTCATAATTGTCCCTCAAGACATGAGAGGACATCCTAAGGTACACCCGGAAACGAGATTGACAAAACACTAGACCTCAGCCCTCAGTCTAAAAGTGTGTAAACATTTCAGTATTTTACAATTACAAGATGTTCAAATGTTGTCAGAATCTGTGCCAGAGACCCCCCCAGTAATCCTCTGCTGACACCCACTTGGAGTGAAAAGAAAGCCTTGAAAATCAGAGCATCTCATTCTTGTCCCTCCTCAAGATGCAAGAATGCATCCTAATGTTTCCTTATTTTGTGAATACCTCACATTCTATCTATCAGCAATAATACAGAAAGATTCCAGTTGAGATTTTGGAGTATTGTACTGGGTGAACAGAAGGATGCTGAGATCTACTGAAGGTCTCCAAAAGAGAAAGCATTATTGTTCCACTGGCTGTAAACACTGGTCTTGTTTCTCATTTCTAGGCTTCTGAAAGTCTCAGTGATGAAAGTAAAAGAATTCTCACCAAAGCCCCATAAGCTTCCTCTGCTGAATGTGTTGATGAAGCTCAGAAATATCCTCTGATTTGATTCCCTTAGGACCCGAAGAGCAGTTGTCCAAATAAAGCACGTATGGCAAACATACATTACCCTTTCCGTATTCCATGTCGTACTTGCAACAAGACCTTCCCAAGTCCTCATGTATCTTAGTAACCTCTGTACAGAAGAATTGTTTGTTCATCATTGTGCAACTGATCTTTATTTCAGAACTGTCAGACACTGGGGATTGTTCCAGTAACTGTAAAAAGATCTTAGCAAAGAATCTGAGCTAGATAATGTGTGGCTTTAAAAAAAAAGAAATTCTAATAATGAGGTATGGCAGCAAGGATATTGATTAGAGCAGTGAGGTTTGGTGTATCAAACAAGAAGGACTAAAAAAGACTGATCTCAGGAACAATGGGAAAAGTAGTTGGTTCCCGCTGTTTGAAGGGAGGGGATTGTTTTACTCTCCTATGGGCCTGTGGATCCTCCAAGGAGACCAGGGGTTATTTTAGTTTCTTAAATCATGTTTATACAACATTATGTCAATGACATCAACTAAATATGTAGAGTTCTTTGATATGTATACAGACCAAAAGCATAAGCTTTGGCATCAGTGTGATTTTGTTCATGTCCCAGGTCCATGCCACTCACTCTTTCCTCTCCATTCTCCACACCTTGGTTTTCACATATGTACATAAGGAGGTGAATTAGGTTATCTCATAGACATAGTGAAGAAAGAATATTCCTGGAACTTCCAGGCAAAAAAGTACTAGGAGTGAATTTGAGTACTAACTGGACATCATCTGCATCAAAGGTCAATTCAAGTGGATTAAAGATTGTACAGCACCCTTTTAGGATCCAAGAGTCAGTCACGCTAATGTGGATATAGAGATCTCAGCTAGTGTTAGGAAGAGGAGTAATGTGGGTGTGTTGTTATCTGCCATCGAATTGCTTGCTACTCATAGCGACCCTATGTACAACAGCCTTAAACTCTGCTCTGTCCTGTGCCAATCACACTGTCTCCAGTACACCTATCCCAATTACCCCAGTCACTGAATCAATCCACCTCATAGAAGGCCTTCCCCTCCTGCGCTGTCCCTCCAGCTTCCCAACCATGATGTCCCTCTCCAAGGACCAGACCCTCCTTACATGTTCAAAATATGTCAGACGAAGCCTCTGAATCCTTGCCTCCAAGGAGCATTCACGTATAACCCTCTCCAGGCTGAATCTGTTTTCTCAGCAGTCCATGCTACACTCAATACTCTTCTCCAGCACTACAGCTCAAAGGCATCAATTCTCCTTCTGTCCTCCCTAGTCATTGTCCAACTCTCTGACGCATAACAAGTGATTGCAAAGACCATGGTCTGTATCAGATGCACCTTAGTCTCCAGAGTGACACTATTGCTCTTCAGTACCCTGGAGAGGTCCCTAACAGCAGACTTTCCCATCGCAATACATCTTTAATTTCCGGGATCCTGGTGCCAAGAGTATTGATTGTGGAGCCAAGCAGACTAAAGCTGTAAACAATCTCAGTCTCTTCAGCATCCATCCTGATGCTGCCAGTTGGTCCAGTTGTGAGAATCTTTGTCTTCTTGACATTGAGCCTCAATAGATATTGAAGGCCACAATCCTTGACCCTCTGCAGCAAGTGCTTCAGGTCCTCCTTAGTTCCAGCAAGTAGGGTTGTGTCATCTGCATAACACAGTTTGTTGATAGATCTTCCACCAATCCTGATGCCATGTTTCTCCTCATAGAGCAGACAATTTCACCTACATCCTCCCATTCTAATAACCATAAAGTCACCCAACAAATCTGTACCACTTCTTAGGTTTAATTTTGAGCCAATAGGCAGCCATTAAAACCCTTATTCCTGGGGTTCCTGCTTGTATTGACTCAAACTCATTGCAACCAAGTCAAAATGTACACATAGGCAACCTTTCAGTGGAGTTTTGAGATTATAAATTACATCAGAGGTGATTGTACATCTCTTTATCTCAAAGTGGCTACTTGATTTGAAAGGCCAGAGAGGCATGGCCTTTGGGTTAGCAGCAAAATTCCTTAGAGACTAAGTCACTAGAGAAAATTCTTGGGGAAGAAAGAATATTCTTGGGGATGCTATCTTTTTTTTTTTTTTTTACATTAAGCTATTCTAAATCTTTAATCAAATTCCATCATTGGCCATTATTACACAACAAAATTAGCTTTCTATAAATTATTTTGCTTTTTGTGTACAAATCATCATTATTGAAGTAATAGTAATAAAAAGCAAATACTAGGCAAAGACCTTTATTAACCTTTGTTTCAAATTTTATTCCCAGGCTTCTTCAGCTTATTTAGCTGCAAAGAATGAATTATATTTAAGCAGAAACTGAAAAGAGCTGCAATGGCTTGTTGGGCTTCAAAATATGAGAGATCTAGATTTTATCAGATCCATAAACAAAATATTTTTTAAAGCAGTCATAATATAAAATAGCAGCTCAAAGTAACTTCGTCATATTTTATCTTCTTCAAAAGTTGACTCAAATCAGTTGGCCTCATTCTTTGAAGCCTCATCAAAATTCTCCACAAGATCTGGAACTTCATCATCATCATCTTCTCCAGTAGCAAGTGGTGCTTTTCCATCCACAGATTGTTTGGGCAGGGCCTTCAGCCAGTCTTCTTAAACTACTCAGGCTATCTGTGCCAAGCTGGTTTAAGATGCTGGGTAACATTTCTGTCAACTGCTTTGTCTCAGCATGGTCGGTAATGGTGAAAGTATTCGCTGCCAGAGATGCCTGAACTTTAGGATTATTAAAATGGATCACCGTTCCTTGATTTGTAAACATATTCACCTCTTCAATACCAGAGATATTGTTTACCCCTAATTTCTTTAAGGAGAACTGAAGTTTTTTGTCATCTGCTGTAGCTGTTCTATGAACCACCTTCTTCTTTCTGCGTGCAGTTCCTTTTCCACCAATGCGCACTTGTGCCTGCAGTTTGGCAAGTTTCTCCTGATTCATGATCGTTTCTTTCATCTTGTCAGAGAGGAAATGGGGCCGCGCGGGGGACTAGGGCTGGCACTCAGGGGGTCTTTTGGCAGACCAGCTGAGATAGGCTGCACACGAGGGGACGCAAGATGGCAGCTAGAGAGAGACCGGAAGCGACCCAACGGGGATGCTATCTTCCAGTGAAATAAATTTACAGCCCTGAAGTGTGATGAGATCACCCTAGGAGTAAACATAAGGAGAGAAGAGAGCCTAGAATCATGTCTGTGGCATTCCACCACAAAGTAGTCAAGGAGAAAAGAAAGAAATCAGCCAAATAGGCTGTTGTTGTTGATGAGAGTAAAACATCCAGATAAGAGTAAAAATAGGTAAAAGTGGCATCCTGGAAGTAAAGAGAAGGCCTTGAAGAAGTTAGCACTCAGGTCAAATATAACAGATTTTAGGCCTTCCTTCTGAGGCCCTTCTGAGTGGGCTGTAACACCAACTATTTAACAATTTGTGCTATTCTGTAAGTGAAGCCAGTCTCTTTAATCTAAGACAGGTTCAGCACAGTTACCCTGCCTTCTGGATTTACATGGTTCTGTGGAAAGGCTTTGGAAGAGACACTCACTCTTTTATTTGTATACAGACACAGATTTGAACTTTTATTTCTGTCCAGGTTCTTGAGCAAGGCACTGCTTGACCCTCTGGCAACTCAGAACTCACAGATCACCAGGCGTGGCTCTGCACAGGATTTGTCATTCCACTTGCCATTGGTAAAGATTTCCACACAGTTCTCTGCTCCACCATTGTTGTTGGGCTCTCTGGGGCCCAGTTGGAAAATGTGAGGGGTTTCCCTGTAGGATAGGTGAATCTGCCCTCCATCTTGGTGTCAGTCATGCCCAGAAAGCCGCTTTATTGTGGACAGTGACCAGCTCCTGCACAGCAGCATTCTCAGCTAAAGAGCGTGGAGAGGCCATCTTCCCACCAGCCTGCATGCACGTGTGCTGGACGTCCTCATAGGACTTCTCAAAGCCACTTGTCTTGAAGATCTTCTTACCAACACCCCGGCCATTGGGGAAAAGCTCCACTAGAAAGAGAGGAAATGGTTTTGGGGTGTGGTCATCCCTTGCCAGGGTTTCAGGGGCTCTAAGACCTTAGCGCTCTAACTTGACCCTCTCAGATCTGTTTATGTAGTGAAAGTCAAACACATAGCTCCAAAGTAACCCAAGCATCATAATGCTTCCTTCACCCTTTCAACAGCCCTGTAAGGTGGCACCGTGTCCCCTCATTTCAGAGAGCACTAAAACTCAGAGGTTAAATGGAGTTTGTTGTTAGGAATTGCTAATCTCAACTGTCAAGTATGCGTGTTTTAATTCTTACCATGCTGTAGATCAGAATCGGAATTTCAATTACAATGAAAAATTAGACTTTACTGAGAAAAATTACACTATGCAACACAGACCACAGTCTCTGAACATAAAGAAAACCCATGCATTCAGCCATCACTTAGCCCTGAAGATCTGAAATCTGTCAACTGTAACAGGGTGGAAAGAAACAGAGTGGGTAGAGTTGAACCTCTGAATGCTGTAATACACTAACTTTTAGTCTGCATGTAAGTACTGCCTCACCAGTCAACATCACTCAGAAGCACTAGGTGAGGAGACAAGGACTTTTGAGTGTGTGTGTGTGTGTGTGTGTGTGTGTGTGAAAGAGAGAGAGAGGAGAGAGAGAGAGAGAGAACAAAGGAAGTAGAGTTAATACTGAAGAGAACCCCAGCTGAGAGTCAGAAGGCTTTCTAGTTAGAAATGGAGAAGTCATATCTCAGAGTTTCACATTCCTCATTTCTAAGTGGAGTCTCTCTTCACAGTAACCTTTGTGATGTGACTAATGTTCTTGTTATTGTCCTCATCTATCTCTGTAATGTTTGGACCCCTGCATAGATGTTCTTTGCAAAAGCCACCCTAGTCTCGTGAAATTGGCTTGAGTCCAGACTGCACGCTAACTTATTGCCCTTCTTCTCTGAGCTCAGGGACAGTTCCTCTACATTGTCAGGATGGCATCTGGTGCAGCCATAGGCAATGCCAGAGCAAGGGTGTATATGTTACTTTGGGATTTGTGATCTATGCATCTAGTAAGTGTGTATGTGCATCATTCTGAAGGAGTATGAACATGCTAATGTTTACCTGAGTGTGTATACATGACTACACACGTGCATACACATATGTGTACCTGGGTATACAATGGGTGATTTGCTTAAGTACACACATGTATTGGAATAAATGTGGGTGAAAAAAATACATGTATGAATGTGCTCCTGGTAGGAGGAAAGGTGATTCATCACATGCTCAGAATTCTTACCCATGAGCACTGGTACTTAGGAGCCAGTCCTATAACCTGGATTCAATGTTGCTGTGGCTGTACGACATTACCTCTGAGTTCTCTCACCTCCATGCCACAAAGGAAAGAAAAGCATCTTGGACTAGTGTCTTCTTGTTTTTATGCTCACAAGGACAGCACAACATAGATAACAGAGAAGGCATGAACTAAACAGAATTTGGCACTTATCTAGCACAGGTGAACTGAAGCTAGAAGGAATTAAAAGAGTTTGAGAGCCTTGAGGGTACCATATTTGCACTAGATCCAGAAACTAATGTCCTAGATCTCATCGTTTTACTTATCTGTTGGAATCTTTTCAGTGCCTGGAGCATGTATCTACCCTGCTTTCCTCTGCCTTAGCCTCACTCTCTGCTCCAGGCCCAGGTCCAGTCCTAAATATGATCATAGCACCATCCCCATCTAAGACTCAGGCCAGCAGTGAAGTCACTAGGGATAATAGGGTCAGCCATGAACAATTCCTCTTGCTTTATGTGGACTTTCCTTCACCTCAAGGACAAGCAGCACCGCAGTATCCTTATAACCACATTCCTTAAAACTCTCACAGCTCCTTCCCTCACCTATTCTCAAAGATCCTGTGGTGAGCCCTGTGGCCTGCCAGCCAGCATCCTGGATAGGGAAGAATAATGAATGGTCATACTGGGTGACAGATGAAACTGATTTCAATGATGCTACTGCCTTGGTAGTTTCTCTTCCTGAAACACGGGACTTCCAAATGACCCTTGGGTCATTTTGGTGTCACTTCTCTGACAGTGTCATATGGTGAAGTTGGTACCTTCCACTTTCACTGCCGAGCCACAGATTGAGGTCCAGGATAGGCCCAAATCAAGGCCCATATACACTCTAGAGAAAAATCTGATCCTGATTCAGGTGTCAGACTCACCTTTTGCATTCTGCAAGAAGTCAGCCTGAAGATGCTGTACCTGTTTCTGTAAGACTTCTATTTTCTGCTGCAGAACAGCCACATCTGCACAGAGATACAGTCCAGTAAGGATGTGTTCAAGATAATGGGAATGTCTGAAGCCTGGTTCCTGGGAGGGGGGTGGTACCCAAATGCAGGCACACACTGGGAGAGGTGGAGATATAAGGAAGAGCTGGGACTGACCCTAGGAAGCCCATATATGCTGTGAAGTAACTGGCTAACTATTCCTGAGTAGATCCAAAAGGACCTTTACTGACATTGAAACAGATGACATTTTAATTCCAAATTCTGAAAATATAATTGCATCTCTCTTTTGGTTAGCAAGAACACATATTCTTATTCCTGTTCATCAAGTTATTTGATGCTTACAGGAAACCTAACATTTAGATGAAGCACCTGTTTAAGTTTGTCTTTCAGCTAATACTAGACATTAAGACCAGCTTCTTGAGCCTTCTAGCTAGCCTTTACTGCACTGCATCTGCTCCCTGTAGTCCAGAAGACAGACAGCCAGGAGAAGCAGCTATCCTGAGCTGATGAGGGCTGTGCTTTCCCAGGCATGCCCTACTGGGGGCTTCCAGAGCCAGGGGTGTTTACCTTACCTGGAAGCCCACTGTCTCCCTTGACACCTTTGTCTCCAGGAATACCTCTGTTCCCCTTCAGTCCTGGAGGACCCCTGGACCTGGAGGTCCTTCTGGACCCATAGCTCAAGCAGGCCCTGGAGTAAAAAGATAAGAGCTACGTGAGCTATTTCCAATTTATCAGCTTTGTACCTTCTTGATACACTAACTATCATTATTGCCTAATAACACATTCTCCCCATTTTCAAACAGTCCTCAGAATGCAGCTGTTCTATACTACCACCATGGCTCTGCAATCTACCTCCCCCGTACAGACTGCCCCACCCTCGGAAATCTACCCTCCTGTAGTGACTGAATGTCTACTGCTTAGCATTGCACTCACTATGGCTTCACAGTCCCAGAGCCCAATAGTACATACACCTTGTAGATAAACTGTCCCCATTGCCCAACAATGCTGGTTTTGGCATGGGTGGTTTTAGTGGTAGTGGAAGGTACGACAAAGACAGTTTCATGAAAACAAGAACCTGAGGCCAGCTCTGTCTTTCACTCACCTGTTACCCCAGCAGTCCCAGGGGTTCCATGCTCACCAGTGACTCCTCTCTCCCCTTTAGGGCCTCTTGGTCCTGTAAATCCTTGTATACCTGGGATGCCTACTTCCCCTGAAATGGGACAAATTGGGATAATCACTGCTGAAAGTACACTGCTCGAAGTGTATTCAGCACTTATCTATCGTTTTCTTAGCAAAACAGCTTTTCATCCATGGTCCAGGGTGAGAAACAAGAAAAATTTGCTTTGAAAAAAATGCTTTGCTGCCTGGGGTCCTCTGTGGAAAGTAACAGGAGAATACTGTGACTGTGGGCATGTGCAAAGGGGAAGTAAGAGTCAGCATATCTGTCCCTACATGAGCTGGCAGAACCACACAAAATCTTCCTGGTTAATATTCCAGCCTCTCTTGGCACTCTGCATGCCAAAAGGCCAGGAACCAAAATGTCTTCCTTCTCTCTCAGGCAACCATGTACCTCTCACCTACCTTTGGACCCAACCTCTCCTTTTGACCCTGGTTTGCCTTGAGGGCCTGGGCTCCCCTGTCTCCCTGAAGGGCCCTCTCTTCCAGCTTGACCAGGAATGCCTGGGAATTCTGGGGCTCCTGGAGGTCCTGGAGGTCCTGGAGAAAAGAGCCAGTTTAAACAATGACACTGAGTCATGATGGAAGTAAAAAGCTGGGATGAGGCAGGAGCAATAAGAGATCAAAGAGGTGGTAGTATTTAAAAAAGGTATCTCTCAGCAATAACCCCAGTTTCCCCTGGAATTAGCTAGTACTCTTTTCAGAAAGGCGTTCTTGTTTTCCAGGCTAGTTTCTAGATGGCTGAGTGTGTGTCTCTGGAGGGTGTGTGCCCTCTACAAGCAGGAAGGGGCACTACTAGAGCTCTTTTTGTCCTGCCCTCGTGCTCACCATGAGGCCCAGAGTCTCCTTTGTGTTCTGGTTCTCCAATGGAGCCATTGTTCCCTTTTGGCCCCCCTGGGCCAGCTAGTCCAGGCATTCCTGTTTGCCCTATAGCTCCCGGCAACCCTGCAACAATAGGGAGGGGAAAAAATTAAATATAATCTTAGCCCTGAACCAGGAGGAGTCAGCCATCTACAGGTGGGGTGGGGCAGGTCTGGAGATTGGGGAGGTTGTGTCAGATCAACCACATTTTTTCAGTTGCTGTATAAACCTTCACCTGCATTTCTACTTCCACACACCCTGAAGCTATGGGAAAGTGTGTGGACATCTTCATTACATAGGAGCCAGCTCACCTAAGTTCAGACTTTAGGCTAGTTGCAAGTTAAGACCTCACCTACTTGCTGTGGAATACTATTGTCTTACTCAAGGCCATGACATTGACCACGGGTGATCCATCAACATTTACTCCTGGTTATTGGCACCCTGCTCTTTTCTTCCCCCAACCAGCTCTTGTATTAGAAATTCCATCTAATAGGTGTTGCTAGTCAAATTCATTTTTTATCCATTTTCCAGTGTTACATTCCTTTGTTCACTAAAAAAAAAAATCATCCATTAACACCTATTTTATGATTACTACTGAGCAAGATGTAAAGATTAGCTTTAGGGCTTGATATGCAACAGATCTGAAGCAGAGAGATCTGAAGCCATGAGACAAGGATAACAGGTAGAGAAAATACATCAGATAATGAGTCAGTCATGCATTGGTTCCCACTCAAAGGTACATAACAACAACAAGAAGTCCATAATAGAAGCCATCCAGCCCAGTCCCAGCTCACATAAGTTTATTCCTATCTTCTGAAGGAGGAAGTTGAATATAGGGCATGTTGTTGTGTGCAGTAGGTAGTAACTGACTCATTGCTGATTCCCCATTGGGTTTTCAGAGAAAGTAAAATACACTGGAGGAGACTGCCCATCTTAATTCTATGGAGCAGTAGGTGAATTTTAATTGTGTGCCTTAATGTTGACAGCACAGCTCCTTACCACCAGGCTATCAGAGCTCCCTGAAGGGCAGGAGGACTTGGAATATACAAATGTAGACCTAGTATCTGTGTTCATATGGTAAGAGGGAGGGAGGTTTGCCTGGGGAAAGGATGGGTTGGGAGTGTTCCCTAGGCACCAGTGGCAGTGTGAAAAGTTCTGTGCTGAGCACTCTGCCTAGCTTTCTGTTAGAATGAAGTAGGAGAACCAAATGAATGTCTAAAGTGAGCACTAAAGTACTGAGCTGCATAAAGAAATGTTATCTTCTTTCCCTTCCCTCCTCAATGTTTTAAGGGGAAATCTGTTCTCTCAGACATGAGTATGGGCCTTCTCCTTTCCCATGTTTTTCTCTCTAATTGTTATCAAGTTTGAACCAACTCAGAGCTGACCCTCTGCTCGGTTTCTGAAGCTATAAATCACATGGAAGGGCTTGCCCATCTTTCTTTCCTAAAGCTGCTACTGGATTTGAACCACCAGAAAGGTGGAGCCTTTGGATTAGTAGCGTAACTTCCTACAGACTACACCACTAGAACTCTCTACTCTTCATGTGGAAGGGCGGTATTAAAAATATTTAACATCTGGCAACAGGGATCCTTCAAACTGAAAGAACACTTGATGAATGCTAAAGACAATTTGGGAGACATGTACCCAATCTGCTCAATTTGGGGATGAAAGAAATCAGAAAGAATCTCAGCAAGAGTCAGCATAGTGAGGTGATGGAGTGAAGCACTTGGGAATTCAGAGAAGCATTCATTATCTTTCTTGTCAGGAAGTGTTTATGTGAGTTCAATGTTTGCAGAAAACTCAGCCTCATTGGAAAAAGAAAGCCCATCTGTCAGGCTTCCATCACAGATACCCAGAGTTCTTGAGCTGGCTACAATTTCAAAGCCCACCCCTTTCTTGCTAGAAAGTCCCAGGACCCCAGATCTACCTAGATCCCCCTTCTTGCCCCGGGGGCCCTCTCTTCCATCCCGTCCATCACGCCCAGGCAGGCCATTTTCCAAAGGACTACATATGATCAGGGTGCAAGCATTGGCAACTGTTTTCTGAGAGTGAATCCTTACTTCTGTTCCTAATAAACTTGAGAGCTGTGTAAGTAGAGCCAGCATAGTGAGAGGCAAGAACAACATGACCTGTGGAAATGACCAGGTAGATGATGAGCATACTCCTGGATACAGGATATGTTTAGAGTTTGTCCTACCTCCTGGATGTCAGGAGAAGCCTACCATGCTGCTTCTTTACTGATTTGGGTGAGAGGGCAACTGGGATCTGAAATAAATTTAAAAAGATTGTTAACATAGTTTGGTCTTAGAGGATGTGAGTCACAGTTTAATCTTGGAGCTCCTCGCAGTCCCTAGAAGTCTCCACTTGTTCTCAAGCATCTTGTCCCATCTTTTTTTTTAAAAAAAAAAATTTTTATTTAATTTCTTATTTTTATTTATTTTTTTTATTTCAATGAACATCTACAGAGATTTTGGAATTCCATTCATTCATTGTTGCACTTTTCTCCCCGCCCCCCCCTTCTCTCCTCTCCTCCAAAAGCAAAAGAAAAACTCCTTCATTGGTACACAATCCCCCCGCACCCCTCCACCCCAAATATAATCCACTCTGCAACCCTTATTCCGTACTCTTATGATAAACATAATGCCCTAAAATATAATACTTTTAAACTATTCTCTCCCTCATAGACTTCAATGCAGTAAACATAATTTATCTGGTTTTTCTCGGTCTTAATTGCCCCATTTTATGCTGCAACAGATTATATTAATAAAGTACGTTCTAGCTAGCTACTGTTTGATGGAAGTGTCTAAGAGAGAGGTTAAGAAAAGATGGGACCTGGTGCCACTGTTGTAGAATGAGGTCCCATCTTTTCTTAATCACTCTCTTAGACATTGCCATCAAACAGTAGCTAGCTAGAACATACTTTATTAATATAATCTGTTGCAGTATAAAATGCGGCAACTACTATGAGCAGTATTTGGTGCTTTCTTAAAGAGATGGGAACAAGAAAGACCATTTGATCCAGCAATTCCACTACTAAACATATACCTCTCAAAAATAAGAGTTTCAACACTAACATATGCACAACCATGTTTATTGCATCATTATTTATAATAGGGAAGAGTTGGAAACAATTCAAGTGTCCATCAGTGGATGAATGGTTAAAAAAAGGATGCATTCACACAACAAAGTATAATGAATCTGAAAAGGACTAAGAATTCATGAAATACAGAATAACAGAGATGACTCTAGAACAGATTCTGCTGAGTGTTCTAAGTCTGAAAAGGACAATTATGGTTTAAGGCCACAATTATTAAAAAGCTAAGGAAGGTTTACATAGAGAATGAAGAAATATTGGAGGTTTAATAGGAATAGGAAGAAGGGAGCAAAAATTAATGACTAGGTAAGTCAGGTGACGAAAAAGGCAACACACAATATTGATTAGATATTGCAATAAATTAATCACATTAATCTGTGGTAATTAATGTAATAAAATTAAAAATATAAACCCATGGGATTTTTAAACTTTAACCCAAATTAAAAAATTCTTTAAAAACAAAGAAAAGAAAAGGTAATGATTAGACAAACTGAGTGAAGGGAAAGGCCACATTATAAATAATCTATTACATTACTAAATGGTAATTAATGTCTTAATATGTGTATAATGTTATTGTCAAGTCGGAACCAACTAATAGTTGACCCTCTGGTGTGTTTTCAGAGCCAGTTAATCACACAGGAGGAGATTGCCCATGCTTCTCCTGTGGAGCAGCCTAGTGGCTTCGAATCGCATGCCTTTGGAATTGAAGCTCAGCTTCTTGCCACTATTCTATCAGGGCTCCCTATAATATGTATATGAGGGATCAAATTAAATTGTCATCACAATGTTAAAAAACCAAATGTATATGAATGAAAAACAGTTGTTGTTGAGGTGGTTGTTAGGTGTTATCGAGTTAAGTATCATTCAAAGGGACTCACAAACAAAAGATATGAAACCTGTTCTATCTTGGGCTATCCTCACACTTCCTGACACACAAGAGCCCATTGCAGCAGTCACTGTGTCAATCCACCTAGTTGAAGGTCTTCCACTCATTCACAGATTGGTCCTCCACTCTTCCCAGCATCATGTCCTTCTCCAAGGAATAGTCCCCCCTAGCAACATGCCCAAAGTATATGAGGCAAAGCCAATAAATTTATAAACTCTCATCCAAAGAAATAAAAAAGTAGAAAAATAAATAATGATCATCTATCACAACAGAAAAAATATTGAGTACCTTGGGTAGGGCACTTCCTTTGCCAGGATCTCCTTCCTATATGCTTCCTCTTTCTGAGTCAAACTAGTTTCCTCTCACTGCCTTGGATGAAGTAATAGTTCTGGTCTGAGACAGAATGTCTGTAATTGATGATATCTATCCCCACATAGGCTAAGAATGTGGACCCCTGTTGACCATTCCTGGACTCAGTGCTGCCTCCATAAGGAAATTCTCAGGAGGATACCAGTGAAAACTTTCAGAGATACAAATCAGATGCTTTAGAGACCCTAGAATTAAGCCCAGACTATCTGAGAGAGAAGGTGTATGGAAGGTGGGCAAAGTAATCAGATGGAAGGTAAGGTTTTTTGAGGGGATTAACTGTCCAAAAGGGCATCAAGGTACCATCTTACAAACCTAGTTGAAAGTAAACTCAGGACTGGAGCCAGAAACTGGGTCACTCCCTAGGTTGGCCACGTTTTTTTTCCTCCCAGAGAGGACCTGAAAAGTTAAAATTAGGCAAATGTAAGAGCCACAGAGGTTGGGAGCAAAGCTCAGATCTTAGGGAGAAGGGAATGTATAAACTAAAGGAGATCACCAGGCAGGCTAGATGAAGATAATGGAGGGGTATCCTGGTCAGAGAAGTACTGGCTACAAGTGATTCTGTACTGTAATGACCTCTCATTTTCACTGTCTCTTTTATTTGCAGTGGAGTCCAGACTGACTCGGAGCTGAACAATTTTTCAGGGGCTATAAATCAAATGGAAGGATTCTGGCCCAGGAGCCACTGATGGATTTCAATCACATGCTTTTTGATTGGTCACACAAGTCTGTATTCACCTGAATTCACAAATTACTTGGCAATATAAGAGTCTCTAGAAATCTGGAAACTATTCAGAAAGATCAGAGAATTGATATTAGCCTCTTTGCAGGGCTCACTGATAGAAATTCAGAATGAGACAGCATTCCCTGGCCTGGAGACTTCTCTAGCCTAGAAAAGACTGAAAGGTAACAGGTAACCTTTCCACCAGCTCAAGATGGCAGAAAGCACCATTGTAGGATGAAGAGATGTGAAAGAGTTGACTGAAAGTTTTTCTGGCTTGAAGACAATAGAGATGACTTAGCTGAAGTAATAGAGGAAGTAGAAAGAGTCTTTTAAGTTAAAGTAAAGATCTGCTTACACTAAGCTTTCAGAATAATATTTTATTTTTTTAAAAAAATAATGTATTTCCCTTAAAATATTTTGAAACTGTAATTTTTATCTTAGGTCTCCATGAGTGATATCTAGGGTTTGAGTAGGTATCACCTCCCACCCATCTGTCCCCTCCACCTCCCAGGACAGGAAGCAAAACTTCCTACAAGAGGCCAGAGAGCAAGCAAAATGTGAGATAGAAGGGGCTTTAGTTACCCATCTCTTTCCCAACCTACAATATCCACAAGTTTTAAACCGGAGTAGCTCCAGAAACCTTTCCTTCTCTACCTGAGTAAACTAAATGGCCCAGCTTGTTAGCGGAGTATCAGGAGGACACAAGGAAAAATAAAATGAATAACAGAGACAGTGCACTTACAAGTTTCTTCCTCCAGGTTCCAGGAGCTCCAAGTGAACTAACTAGTTTTTTCTTGGCAGACTCTATATAGTTGGTAACTTGAGCTACTCAACCCTCACTTCTGAGTAGTCCTTTTCACCTTCAAGTCCAAAGCAGGAAAGGGAGGGAAGAGGGGGACTGAAGATGGGGAGGAGAAGAAGTCACAAGGTAAGAGTTGGGTGAGCAGAGGGAGGAGGTAAAGGAATTAGGAAAGATACAGTGGAGACCTGAAAAGATGGGGGAATAGTGGGCATAGATCAACAGTGTTTAATTTTATAAAACACAATGTATGAGAATGATCTTAAGAAACACAATGTAGACAAAGAGAATACAGAGCTGGAGCTAAGAAAAGCAATATCCTTCACAATAGCTAACACAAGATTAAATATTTGGGAGTAAATATAACTAGAAGCACAAAAGATCTATTCAAAGAAAATTACAAAACATTATTACAAGAAAAAACAAAAAAAAAAAGCCTGGAGAAGTGGAAGAACATTCTCTGCTCATGGATAGGAAGCCTCAATGTTGTGAAAATGGCAATACTTGTTGTTGTTGTTGTTATGTGCCATCGAGTTGTTTGCGACTCAGAGCGACCCTATGCACAACAGCCCTAAACCCTGCTCTATCCTGCGCCAACTGCACTGCCTCTGACACACCCATCCCAATTACCCCAGTCACCGAATCAATCCATCTCATAGAGGGTCTTCCCCTCCT